GTCGTCAATAAAAAAAATTTACACGATATAGACACGCGTGTGCATGGAAGAAATATTCGTTGCTTGTGAAGATTTAACGCCTATCAAACTGGAAACTAGCGTCGTGTTCAATTAAACCGATAACGTATTTTATCAATCTGTGGCCATAATATATATGCAACAAATAATTCATGTTTGGCACGTTAAATCGATTAATCGGACATATTGCTAATTTATCGTCTTCTTATTTTTTCGTTAAGTTTGTGAGTTCTTCCTGAAAATGTTTTCTCATTTTGGTCGGAGATCACAATAATCATGTAGGAATACTTGCCAGAAGGGCAAGCTCCTTTTCGATATAAAATGAAACTATTTTTCAAATGTTATGTCATTTCTTTGAATCAAAATCAATAAACATTTATTCTCTTGAAAGCATAAAAACGCGCTCCAATAAACAACCGGAAGTCATATTTATGTGCAACGCGACTAGTTTCTATGCCAATCGAAAGAATTGTGTTTAGAAGAACATATGGTTAAATGCAAACATGAACCAATGCTTATCACATGGTCGGAATGACGCACGTTCGCATTGCAAATAGCTGACGACAGCTTATGATCTGTCGTAATAAAAGACATGATTAATAAGCCAACAAAGAAGAGAGCAAAAAAAAATGTATAATTATGACAAATGCCGAAATAGTTATGAATTTCGTAAACGAGATAGAAAGTACTTTCAAACCAAGAAAAACGACAATCGAGGAAAAAACACCATGTACCAATACATACGTGCAAACGATCACATGCCACACAAATATATATGTTCACTGAACCACGCCATTCGGTGTCCAAAACAGTTAAGCAGCCAAAATTATTCAAAAGAAATGAAACGAAAATAAAAGTGAAAACTTTTTTTTTAAATTCATTTCGTCTTTCATTAAGTTGCGGTTGTAAACGTAAAATTCGACCTCGTTGTTGAGCTTGGAAGAAAGAAGACAACAACAACAACAACAACAACAACAACAACAACAACAAAAATTTGCCAAATTTTTACTATTCGTTTCACTCATTTATTTTTCCCTTCTTTCTCGTCTTTCTTTTTCATTTGGGTTTCGGTTTAACTGGTTTTTGTCGAATTTCAATGATTGTACAAAATCATACACACCAGCGTGCTAATCACAAAGGTATATTTTTCGGTGTGGCTCATCTTATATTTCGGAACCACATAATGAAGAAAACCCAAAATTATAAAAACTATGCGAATTATGCGATTGACAAAAACTCAAAGAATTCGACCATTTGCAAGCGTCAGGTTATGTATATATGTGTGATTTACTCGTTATCGAAATTAAAATTTCATTTTAAAAACATATAAGAAGCGAACGAGAAACGAAATGAAATTAAATTAAATGACAATTACGGCTCCATATCAGTTTGCCGTTAAAAACTCAACAATGTAAAAAGAAAAGGAATCGGTCATTCAAATGGTGGAAAACTGAAATGAAAAGAGAGACCGAGAGAGAAAGAATGAAAACCCAAATAAATGATCGAGCGACCGAACAACCGAAAATAAAAAAAAGACGCGCACACTACTGCCGAAAAAGTCGAGGAAACGCATGAGAGTCAGTTAGTCATTTATTCAGTGAGACGATCAAGCGGGCCATCTACTTTCGATTTTGATTGGTAATCTGTTTCGGCCGTAGACGTGAATTTGTGCGTGTAATATTCATTTGCCATTGTTTTGGTTGGTTTTGTTGTTGTTGTTATTGTCGTCGTCATCAACGTCGTCGCCGTTGTCGACGCTTAATGTTTTTTTTTTTTCGGCAACCAAAAACTTTCACCGAAAATTAAGTGAGTTTTTGTTGTTGTTTCCCGTTGAATTGTTCACTATTGCGGACATTCATATGTTTTCTGCTTGAATTTCGGCAATGATGATTTCAACTGGATTCGAACGGAAAACCCTAAAATGAATTCATACATGTAAAAGTCTTCATTAAATGTTGTTAATGAGAATTTGGAGATTTTTGACATTCCACTCTTTTGTTGTGGATATTTGTGGCCACTCGCTTTTATTCGCTTACATTTAAAATCGATCGAGTGATTTATGGGCTATCTTTGTACCACACGGATTACGATTCATTATTTATTGCGTATTTATTCCTTTACTCCCTGTCTCTTTCTCTTTGTTTCGTTATTTCGTTGTTGCTCGTTATTTTAAACATGAATTGTCGGGGTTGGGCATTGCATTCAACATTTCATTAGATTGTTCAATTGTATGTGCGGCATATAATGTCATCAATTGTCATCCGATCAATGCAAAATTTCTATCGGAAATCGATCGAATGAAGAGCAAGTGTTTGGATTCATGTTTGTATGGAATATGTTTCCGTTTATTGATGGCGCCAATATTCAATTTTTGATATTGTGGATGGCAGCAATCATTAAATCATATTAAGTATTAAAAAGTTAAAAAGTTAAAAAAAAAAAATCTCGATCGACAGAGCAGTTTTACCTACTGGAATCAAATAATATTCCAAATCGCATAGAATAATAGGTAGACTATTCAATATAAATACAAAATAAAAATGCGAAGAAGAGATTTAAAAAAAGCATTCGTTCAAATTGTTTTCAAAACAAGGCGTGGAACGATTGAACTTGTAATGGAAAGTGATACCAAATTCATTAGCTGGACAATGTGTGCCGTTGTTATTTTTGTTGTTGTTGCGATTGCATTGATATGCGATATAAATTGAGCAACATTGTGTGAATTACGTAGTTTTATGTAAATGTATCGTGATATGCATTGCTGAATAGAACGAATGTTTCAAGGTCGTTTATTATTCCAAGATATTTATTGTCATTGATAACACCGCGCATAATGTATTTTACTTTTACTTGTACAATCATTTACAATACGCAAATATACGTTAACTTTATTCAACGGACACTACTTCGCTCACTTTATGAAGAGATCTTTTGTCCGTACTAATTTGAGCTTGATTGTAATATTACCATTTGGCTCCAGCTAAACGAAATGAGTCGGCAGTTTATTTCACATTTCATTCATTCGAAAAGCAGTCTCAAATAAATTAATATAGCAGACTATAATCAAATTTCGTACGCTGACATGACATTATTTTTCAATGGATTTCGTTATTTGATGTATTGATTGAAATCGACATTTCATATTTGCGGTAAGGATGCAGCCGGCCAGTTTAGCATCAAATCAATGAGCTTTTATGCGTAAATCGAATGCAAGTCATGCCATTGATATATTCAGTCGAAATTGGTCCGATCATGTTACCTTTCATTCATACCAAATGATACACAATCACACACACACACACACACACATTGCTCTCGAGTAGAAAGTGGAAACCATAAAACTATTCACACGAAATTGTTCAATCGAAATTATACTTGTAGGTTAAAAGTAACACCATGTCGTTATGTTTCGTACGATTCGAATTTGGGTGAATTGTTTATTTTTCCGAGCCTATTTCACCACGCATTCAATTACAATTCCATGAAAAGGCATGACAATTTTGATACAACTGCTTTTAATGTGGCCAGCGCTTATCACACATTGGATTCGTAAATTAATTGCATAAAAATAAATTGTGTATGAATTTCACACATGTAAAAACTTTCAAAGTCATAAATAGCACTAGTGGAATAAGGGATCATTTGAAAGTGTTACAACAGGCACACTTAATTATATACGTGTGTACGGTATGTAGATTTAGTATGAAATGCACATTCACACACATTTGAAGAGAAAAAAAAATATTACTTTTTTTTTATTTTTATTCTCGTTTTAAATGGAAAATCTATTTGCGTAATCAAACAACTGGTTATGCAGTAAAATCTGAAATGAAAATCGATCACCAGAACAAAAATGATTTTATAATAGTAGGAAGTGCGGTTGTGCGAAAATAAGCAAAAGCAACAAGCCAGCACGAATAAAAAGTAAAGAGAAGTAAGGAAAAAATTGGTACAATCAAGTAAGCTAAAAGAGCGCGCAAGCAATACATTCCGACTTTATAAATGAAAGTTAAATTGGAAAGAGCAGCAATAGCGGCGGCGGCAATAGCATGAAGCCACGAACATTGAAAGACAACATTGTGAACCACCGAAGCACACTATTATGGTGTAGCGAGCTCAACGAGTGACTGATCTTAACTCGTATTCGAATCAAATGTACTTGAGCGTTTGAGAAGCGCTTGCGCTGAAGAAAGACAACACATAAAAAAAGCAACAACAAGCAATTTCACTTTCGTCGCACGACTCGATTTCTGCTTCTTCTTTTTTTTCTCTAAGTCATATTTTTTCAACACTTTGGCACATCTTTTGTGCAGAGTGTCTCGTATTTAGCATCGACTCAATCATATCGATACTCATGTGAAGCGAGAGTGGATTTTTTCTTCTTCTCCATCTTTCGTTTAAATTTCTTGTGTAGTCAATGGTATTTGCAGTTTTCAGCACTTACTTGGGGTTTTCTTTCTCGCATCAACAAAGAATGCATAATTATGATATTGCTAAAAGTATGTTTGGCTGACGAAGAGGTGTGGATAATTGTTTTACACATTGGAAATGGCTCAATGTGATGATGACTATGACTTGAACGCCTGTCTGATGAAGAAAAAAGTAAAAAAGAAATAGTGCCCATAAATGATTACATAACATTCAATCGTGCTATGAATCAGTCGATGCATAGCCAATGTTCATCTGAACTGAATTGTACCGTAACTGAAACGAACGGAACCAAAACAAAATTAAAACTAAATCAAATCAAATAAAATAAAAACTGAAACCAAAACTCCACATCGATAATCAAATCAAATGGTTTTGGTTGTTTTGCATGACCTTCTCCAATTAAAACTGATCGACGCTTGTACAGTTTTCATCTATTGTGAATTATGTTCGTTTGTTGACTTAAGTATTTACTATTAACCATAGAATCTAAGTTTAAAGTTTACCATTTCGATTTAATCGGAACGGGAGCGTTTGTCTATAAGTAATCGTAGTTTTTCTCTATTCAGGAAAGGCATCCGGAAATAGCAAAGATATATGTGGCAACGATGATAAATTTAAAGAGGATGGCGATCCATGGAATGTTGAAGCACAAGCTGCCTTCTTAGGGCCAAATTTATGGGACAAAACCTTACCATATGACACGGATCTCAAGGTAACACATGTTAGTATCCTTTCATATTTGTCATTTCGAAATGAAATCTCTCTCGAACGAACTCGTACCACCTTTTTTTTATCTATCTACTTTTCCTTTTTCTCTTTCGAATTTAATTCAATTTTTGGCTATAAAATAAATTTAAAAAAAACATTATTCTATCAAAATTAATTGAAAAGAAAAATTTGACATCGAACATTTTCAAAAAAAAAAAAAGAAAACGAAATTCGCGATTTTCTATAACAAGAACAAAGGCAACACATATTGATTCGTTTCTGCGCTCAATTTCAAATCGAATGAACAAGAACCAAATAAAAAGGATACCAACCAAAAATCAATTTTTAATAAGAAAAATCGCTTAAGTTCGATCAATTGTTTAACCTGAATGCGTTTAACCTTTTTTGACATGCAAAATTCATCCAAACTAAAATGAGCTTACTCATTTAATATAGAAAGTATTGTTTTTCTTCAAAAACAAATTTTTTTTTGCTTAACCAAAATAAAGTCATATCAAAGTTTAACACATAGTCGATGTTACATTTAAAAATAACACTAGTTTCTTATTTTCCGTATGCATGATACGTTTGCCTCATTTGAACAGGGACAAAATAAGATTGTGAATGTTCAGTCGAAATTATTTTTAGTATAGCGGAATTTTGTGTCATACACACGATCGTGCGAATGTAGCATAACTACAGGCGCTCATATATGCTTACCACCAAATTAAAGCTTTCTAGTTTAGTAAAAACCACAACTTGCATTTAATATGCGCTTTTCCTATATTTATTTGATTTTCGATTTTTCGTTAAAATAAAAAAAAGAGTTCTAAGCTAACAAACAAAAGACGAAATAACAGTGAACGAATTAACATTAACATTCAAATGATACATTGATTGAATTTACAGTATGCTGACCTAGATGAGTTTTTGTCGGAAAACAATATTCCTGATGGCTTGCCCGGTACACATTTGGGTCATTCGACTGGTTTGAACCATCGTCCATCGGTGAATGATTCATTGGGTTATTCGACTGGATTAGCACTAGGCTTAGGTCACATCACAACAAAACGTGAACGCTCACCATCACCATCCGATTGTGTCAGTCCCGACACGATAAATCCACCGTCGCCGGCTGAATCGAGTGAGTTAAATCACGTCATGCACATTTCCTTTTTCTTTTCTCTTTATCTACATCCATGAATGCAAATTAAAAATCGCCCCGCCCTTTTTTGCTTTTCAAAATTTTTGTTTTGTTTTAATTTTTTTTTTCAATCATCATCTTCTTTTGAAATTAAAATTTCTCTCCAAAAAAACCCAAACATTTCGATAACCAAATTAGCTTCCCCTCCCCAAATCAGATCCATTTTAAAATTTATGTTTTACAACATGAAAATACAGTGAAGACAAAACAAAAACCAAAACAAAAATCAATTAAATTAACTTTACAGCATTTTCGTTTGCGTCATCAGGCCGTGATTTTGATCCACGTACACGTGCATTTTCGGACGAAGAACTTAAACCACAGCCAATGATCAAAAAATCGAGAAAACAATTTGTGCCCGATGAACTTAAGGACGACAAGTATTGGGCTAGACGCCGAAAGAACAATATTGCCGCCAAACGATCGCGTGATGCGCGTCGTCAAAAAGAAAACCAAATCGCGATGCGAGCACGATATTTAGAAAAAGAGGTTAATTTTATTTCTTATTCATATTTTTTACTAATTTTACCATAGTGCCAGTGAATATACAATTTTAATTCTAACTATATAATTATATAATATATCTTTTATTTTTTAATTAAGAACCTTAAAACCATTTCTATTCCACTGGACACGATAAATTTTAGCTAAATTTGATATTTTTTATAAATTTATTTACAAGATTTCTTTACAGAACTCAACGCTACATCAAGAGCTGGAGCAATTAAAGCAGGAGAATATGGAACTGCGTGCGCGCCTATCCAAATATCAAGACGCATAAGTTCATGTGTTATTCGGTCGCCGGTTGTATGCATTACATTAACGACAACAACATGAAAAATTAAATTAACATTAACATTAAAATTTAAATTAAAACGAAAAGTGAGAAGAAAAAAAAATAGGAAGAAGAATGAAGGAGCGTTAAATAAGCAGAATATAAATGATGCAGCAGATAAATTGCAGCAAAACCACATACACAAACACACATCCACATAAAAGTCACCTATGCATGCATACAAACTATTACTACGTATACCGAATACAAAATACTGTTTAAAGATTAACACATGGATATACTTGATTATACATTTTTAGTACTAAAACAAAAACATTTATGGAGCTAAGCTTATGCGTTAAGAATAGGCAGCAACAAAAACAGCAACCACCACCATCACCACCACCAACACCACCACAACAAAATACCGACTTACATCTTTGCTGAATTTTCAATTGATGACACTCATCCTGGGGGGAAAGGCGATCATTTGATGTTCGACAGAATTTAAGAAACATACAACAAAAAAAAAACCAATAAGAAAAAAAAAACAATAAATCAAAGTAGCCAGCTAAATTAGATGATTTAAATTGATCAAATGATAAAAATCGTACACAAAAACAAAAAAAAAACTCCCACAATCAAAGCAAAATGATGAGAATAACGAATGGCCCTAGTAGTTGTAGATTGTACTAAACAATAATTTAAAATAAAAAAAAGTAAACGAAATACACAATAATAATGGAATAGTGTTGGTGCAGGACAGGCGATTAGTTTTTAGACAAAACAGAATAATATTATGTATGTTAAATGAAGTTGAATAAATTTATACAACAAATAAATGAAGTAGAATGAAAATACGATTATGAATTATGATTATGAAGTGAAGAAAAATGAAAAACATTTAATTTTAGAAACAAAATACACAATTTAGATATTTAAGAAATACATATACACCAAGTTTATTCGTAGAAATTGCAATCTAAACAAAACAAAACAAACCACTGTCTAATGTTATTGTGAGACTTGTTATGTTTTTTTTTAATTTTTTTTTTTTGTTTGTTTTGGTTTTTAAATGAAAATGAAACGAACGAAAAAGAAAGAAGCAAACAATAAACACAAAATCGAACGGAAAATGAAGAGGAAAGAAAGAAAGAAATTCATTAGAGTGCGTACGATTTACATTTTAAGATTTAAATTAATTTCTTTTGAGTATATCATTCATATCTTGTTTTCCCCCTTCGCTTTTATTTATATGCCAACATTTTCATTAAAACCATTTTCGATGCTCTTAGGGTTTCACTTCATTTAATGTTACTGGTTTCCTTTTCTCTTTTTTTTTGGTTTTGGGAAAAATGTTGAAAAGACAGACACAAAAAAACAAAAAAAAAAAGATCAAACAACCGTTTGAAATTTTGCAAATAATATACTGTTGGTTACCTATTCGGGTTATTGTTGAAAGAAGTATGATATTGTGTATATCGATCGAAACTACCAAATACTATTCAGGACGAGTACTTAATTGCAAATAGACCCCAAGAATGTGTGAGGAGCTATTGAAACATTTGAGACAACATGTCTTTAAATTGTGGCAACCTCGGCCATGTACATTTGTTACCGGAGAATAATCGTTACCAAAATCACAATTACATAAATGTGCGCACGTCATAGTCACTAGATACACAAATTGTGCTAGTTTCACATTTACCCAATCTATTTTAAATATATTTGTATCAGTCGCTCTGTTTTCTCTTTGTTTTTCTAATTTTTATGCACCTATTTACTTTACTACTCAACACATCCAATTTATTAAAATACAGCGAATTTTCTTGCAAAGTTAGGGGGGAAAATCAAGTAAAAAAAAATGTAATATGACACCGATTTAATCAATTTAATGTTTCGCTATTTATTTTTTACCCCGTTTTTCTCCTATTGTTTCCCATTCTTTAATTAGACATTAAACAAAAATTGTTACTTTTGTTCTTATGTTATAAAACATGAAGCAACTAATTGTTATTATTATTATTTTTTCTTAAATTTTTATTCTTGCGTTTTGGTTTAACATAAAATTGTTGAAAATTTGATTTCCTTTGTAAATATAAAGAAAAAGTACATAACATTGACTCTTTTCTTTTGTTTTGTTAACTTGACTAGTTGTCTGCTTGTCTTGGTAATAAAAACAAGAACCACCACCACCTCCAACATACATACACACACACATATATATATATATATATATACAACTCACACGCTGTCATCGTTATTTTTTTTTGGGGGGAAATTAAGAATTCTCCTTAAATTATTCGTTTGTGTTTTGTTTTTAACAACCCACCACCTAAGATCTAAACATCTTCAACAGCACTTAACTGATCACATCCACACTCACACACACATCGTCTATCGATGCTGCTATTCTCTAATTGTCGTTTTAATTTCGTGTGAATAATTTTCTTAATCGATTTTTCCGTGGAGAAAATGATAAATATGACAACAACAACAACAAAAAATGTTTATACCAATGTAAATTAGAATTCAGAGGTTATTTTATTAGACAAAAGAAAAACAAAAAGAACAACAATAATAACGAAAAAGCTGATTGCTAAATAAATAATTTAACAAAATCTAACGACAAATATTATTACGTATTGAGAAATAAATTATGATATTGGCATAGTGTGTTGTTGAAATTCACAGTGAAGAATAATATTTTTATTTTGTTGAAAACATATTTGGCACATTTTTCATGTATTTTTCTAAATTTGTTGATGTTTATAATTACAAAAAAAAAAATTTCGATCTTCAACAAAAACATACCCACACACTAAATTACGAACGTTTTGGTTTTCACAACATTATCGATTCAAGAATTGGTGGAATTTGTAATTCGATTTTTTTTTTAAATGTACAGACGGTATGAAACCAAATGAATTTTTGTGATGAAAGATGGCTCAAAAAATTAATGCTAAACAATTTTCTCAGTAACCGTTCTCTTGAGTGAGATTTTAAAACTTTGAAAATGAGTATGTGTCTCATTATTTGTATCGTGATAGAACATTTGAGCATAAACTCGATTGAAAACCCAAACACCGTATTCATTAGTTTTTATTTTGTTCTCATTGTGATTGAGAGTAAATTTGATGTTCCAAAAAAGAAAAAAATGTGTAAAAAACGTCTGATGATCAATTGATGAACTTCAAAGGATTTTTTCCAAACGGCATTCGTTCGGAACGTTTACCATTATTTACACGCTCCATAATAATTTTTTTTTTTCGTAAACAGTGGCAATATTTATTTCTTATCTCATAAATTTGTAAACAAATTAAAACAAATTCAATAGACGCAAAGTTACCGTAATACGATGAATGAACGATAAGTTTTTAGAAAAGAAAAATGTAGAAAACCATCGGATTCGAAAGGTAGAGTTGATTTAGTTTAAAAAAAATAATAATTTAAAAAAAATGAAAAAGAAAAAGTTCAAAATCCGTTTTCAATCAGATCACAATTTGTAATATGCTTTGGTTGAAGAATTCAAAGAAAAAAAACTATGCTAGCTATGTACTGAAAAAAATGTGAAGCAAACAATATTGAATAATTACAATGAAATTTTAGATATTCCTAAAATGAAGAAGTAAAATATTCAAATTTAGCAAAAAAAAAAAAACGAAGCAAAAATAACATAAAATCCAACCATAGTTCTACATATAAATAAACAACAACAAATTCATTCAGTAGTTGATTAAAACAAACAAAAAAAAAATAGTTAGATCAATTATAGGGGGCAAAATATATTACATGAATATTAATATTAAATATTTTAGTTAATTTATGTTTATCAAAACCAAACAATGGAAACACAACTCAATCTATCACTCTCATGATGTTCGATCAACAACATTTGGCAGCTAAGATTGAAAAAAAAAAAATGGGGAGCTATGTTTGCCGTTTTGAATCGACAGCTATTAATTAAATATTTAATAATTTAAAAAAATGGGGGTTTTGAATTCAAATGTCATTTAGTAATAATATAACGATTACCACTCATTGAGATTCATCGAAATCAGCTGATATTAAATATGAAAACAGAACAAAACGAAAATATTCAAGAACAATAAGCGTTTGGAATGATACGAAGCCCGATGGATATCTTTTTGACTCGGCGATATTAAAAAAATAATAACATTTAATTTTTTTTACTCATTTCGATTATTTGTGTTCATTGAAAATGGGAATTCAATTCCCGCTGTATTATACGAATCACATTAGAGTTTGCCACAAAAATCTGCTGCCCGCCCCCTTTGGTTTCACTATCTGATGTTTAATATTCATGAAAATATTGTTCAAATTTACACTCAATTTGAAAGCACAACAAGCTACTCAAATCAGTTCAGTTATGAAAACGAGAAAAAAAAATTATTGCTTTGGGCATTGTAGACGCAATTATTAAAAAAAACACACACCTTTAGATAAAAATGAAAATATAGTTTAGCGTATGGTGAAAAATTTAAACTAAACAAAAAAAATGGAATTATTGTAGTTGCTAATTTTAAAAACGAAAAGAGAAATGAAAATTTATAATAATTAGAAGCAAGTGGAGATTTAAAGAAAAAAAAAAACAATTAGTTTGGTTAGAGAACGAAGTCGTAATACACAAGCACACATTATATTTTATTCGTTTAAATAAAATATCAATTTATTCACCCAATTTATTTTTGATTTTTGTTTTTTATTCTTTGTTTTTCTTTTTTTTTGTTGGTCTTTCCATGGCGAAAGAGTCTTCTCTATTTCAATTGATTTTTTTTTTGACGCACACTAAATCAGATTTTTATTGGCAACAATTGTGAAAATCACACTGCGACGATAATGTTTATGTGTAAATGCTATTCTTATGGAAAATTTATTTAAAAAAAAAGAGCTGAGATAAAACAGCCAACATAAAAACCGACCTCAAGAGTTGCCTTGATTTTTTTTTCGTTTTACGCCGAATTTTCATTTCCGGTGGAATTCGCGATCAGACGTTGATTGACGTTTTAACTCGTTTCAATTTTTACTGAAGATAAAAAAATATGCCCCAGGCAGTTGCGTCTGAATTTCAGTTTTTTGTTTTGCTTTGAATAAATCGTCGAGTGTACGATACAGATTGTAAAAGAATGTAATGGGAAAGAGTAAGCACAAAATATGGTGAAAAATAAAGGATTTCTGCGTTGAAATCAAAAAATTAACCAAACTAATTATATTGATAAATTGGAAATACGTGTTACCCATTTGTTGTCAATTATTGTTATGATGAAGAAGAGACAAACATTTAAAACTAATGAGAAATAACAATATAAAGCGGTTTGTTACTTTTAATGTTAAAAAAAAACAGATAAACTGGCTGTTGTATTTTGTAGCTCACGGAATTTATTGAAACAACAACAACAAAGCTCATAAAAAAAACACAAAAATTGAATTCATTCTGGTTTCTTAAGATGTTTTTCTATTTGCTCGTATTTCGAATTCCTTCCAAATGTCAAGTGTTATCTTTCACAAAAAATAAACCTTAAAATATAAATCTGATTTGTTCCATACATACAGAATATTCGTAATGCAGTCAAACAATTGAGTGTTGCTCAAACCTAGAAGATGGAAAGGTGATCAACTTAAAGTTCAAACAATTCTGTGTCGATTGATGGCATTCCCATTGAAACTAAGACGCATTTCGAATCAAAAACATAATAGTTGTGATGTACGATAATCATTTCGATATATTTCATCAATTGACATAGAATTTTTCGCATTTTAAATTAAAAGTGCTTGTTTTACCTTCCGATGAATAAAATCTATCAATTTAAACAAATAATTAGAAAAGACAAACAAAAACTAGATGTAATAGCATTTTGTTCACTCTGATTTGAAAATACACATTAAATATATTCAGTCATAAACGAAAATTTAGTAAAAATGCGCTTAAAATAAGGTGACGGCAGAATTAAATTGTGTTTTTTCAACGACTTTTTAAAATAAAAATCATTGCTGTGTTCTATTCCCATTTGTTTGATAGAATATTTCAACGATATTACGCTAACCACACTCGCATTATTTTCAAATCCAAAATAAAAAAATTTTGGTACTGAATAAAATACGTTGAAAGCAATATGATGAGAGAGAAAATATTGTTCATTGAACACTCACATATTGATAATAGTTATCGTTGATGATCGTTTCCTAAAAATGCAAAATGTGCCTTGATTTAATGTCCGCGAAGAAAAAAAAGCACTATTTTTGGATGGGGAAAACCCAACGAAAAGAATTTTCCCAATTATCTCTGCAAATGCTGTTTTTTTATTCTCTCAAAACCCATAAAATTCTATTGATGCACAATTTATTTGCTTGTCCATTCAAAATGTTTGATAACAAATCAAAAGTGATTTTTATTTAGATGTAAAATCATCTCTACATACATTCAACATAAAATGATATTAGTAATGGCGAACAATGATATTCAAACAACCAATCATCGATTGAAATTAGCAGAATGGTCGATGTCTTTATTTAAAAGGAAAGCAAAAGCAATGTCATCCATGGAATAGTGAAGATTACTCCACTTAAAATCAAACTACCTAAAAACAAACTACAATATCACTGGGAATGTATCCGGAATTGTACTGTGCTTTTATGTGAATTATTTCCGAAATAGATCTTTAAAGAGTCTTGAAATGCACTCGATATAGATAAAACTCTACGAAATTGTTCATTCAATCGAAAACAATATTTCATAAAAAAAATTCAAATATTTCGTGCAAAAAATGATTTACTTGATAACTTTTTCTTCATAAGATGGATCTTCCAGAATTTTATCATCTAACATTGATATGGAACGCTTGAATATATTCAATATTGCTTGAATGTTGAAGAACGCACAGTTGTCAATTTTTTTTTTATAATTTTATTCTTTTAATAATGAATCGCAAATGAGCTCACATCACCAAATCCATAAAAAAATATAATACTAATGTCCAAACAACCTTGAGCTTCTCATTTCGAAGAATTATACATGGATTGAGTATTTGAAAAGTCAATATTGCATTGGAACAATGAATGCGCCAATAAAAAACATAAACGCAATCACATATTAAATACATAGACTGCAATCGGAGGAAACAACTGATCTTTGGATTTCTCGAACTGAGAGTCAACCGATTATATTTCGATGATTTGAAAGGAATTTCGAAATTCAGACGAAAAAATAAAATGAAAAACATACAAATTTAATGCGAGATTTAATAAAATCCTAGAAATTGCCGTAGCATTACCATTTTTAATAATTACCGATATGATACAAACCACTAGCGTACGAACAGAGATTGTGTAGCTTAAACTGTTCACACTGATTACACAACCAGAACGAACGAATAAATAGATAAATTATCCCCCCAAGAAAAATGAAGTAAAAAAAATTAACATAAATTATAAAATGAAATTATATGAAAATATTCTTAAAACTAAAATTTAAAAATTTAAAAGAATTTATTTTTTAGAAAATGTTAATGAGCTAAAAATGAAGAAAAATGTGACAAAAAAATATTAAACATATTTCTTTTTGAGGAAAATATTCGATACCCATTTAAATATGCAAATGAACGGAAATCGATGCAACAAAAAAAAAATGCGGGTGAACGCAGCAATGCTGTTTAAAAACTCTGAAGCCATTCGTATTACTTTGAAAGGGTGTTTGTCAAAAGTTTTGACTCAAAATATTTGTAACACCCGGAACAGAATGGCATCCAAAATGGAGTGGCTACTGCGTTTGCCACAAGAAAAAAAGTAAATAATACAATTTACCAAATACAAAAAAAAAAGAAAAAAAAAATAACAACAAAAATTCTATTGATGAGACGTAGAGAAGCACATGTTTTCCAATGTTCACGTACATTGTTTTTATCCTTTCATTGCATTCATTTTCAAGTATCATTCTATCGATGTTTATAGTCGGTAAAGTTGCTTGAATGTTGAAGAACATAATCTGCTCTATTTTTCATGAATGGATCTCAAATAGATATACATATTATTATTATACATACAAAGATAAACAAAATAAATTGTTATTGGCTGCTCAGTTTAGTGAGAACAGAACAAGTTTAACACGAAAATAGAAGAAAAAACGTCAAGCGTTTTCATTGTGTTCATTTTCAGCTGGGGAAAAATCATGGAAAATAATGCACGTGTGAGGGTAAGATCTTGATTATGGCCACGTACAATGTGCATTTCGTCACCGTGCGTACTTACAATTGAATTAAAATAATGGAATTCAATAACCGGAAAGTCTTTAAAAGTGTCTTCTTATTAAAATACGAAAAGCGTGTATGCTGTATTTCTATTGTAAGAAGCTTTTGCTAAATGGTAAATACGAGGGGCAAATCACTTAAAAATTACTTATTAATTATTATTGATTGTTTTTCGATTATTCTCCGATTACTTATCGATTATTTTAAATTTTATTCTTTTCTTTTGTGATTCTCCCCTTAGGTAAATATTACCTACACATTTCAAATAAAATTGTTTTAATTTCAACCACAAGATACAAGCTCATCGGTATCGATGCAATAGACAATCGAATTACATGTAAGCAAATGCTTACGCTTATTATCGTGCCGAAACTATTTACATTTCTATGTGGAAAAG